AATACACACTTGTGTGTGTGGGGGGGGGAGGGGGGGGGAAATTCATATTGGAGAGAAAAATCCGTCCAGGGGCAACTTGGCCCCCCCCCCGCTAGATATGCCTCTGCCACCTATACATGAAAACGATGCACTTAACAGCGTGGCAATGCCTTATAATTCTTACCATGTTATCATGACCACTTTCAAACGGGATCCCACAAAAGACATTACAGACCCCGAGAAAGCTAGGACCCAGCTCGAACCCGGCTTAGTGAAACATGAACTGACTTCTGTAAACAAACAATACGGCAACGCGACAAAACATCCCTCGCATGTGTGGGCAGTGGGTGCGATGTAAATAAACAAGATGTCGAAATACTCAAATTTGCAGTAATTGACGAGCTGTGGTCACTGGTTACAGGTACATTCTCTACTACAGATCGCTAACTGGAAGGTGAAGTGGAGGGGGTTAATTCGACAATAAATTAGAGGGCAGCTAAGACTTCCTTTCTTCTTATTAAAATTCTTACAAAGTCCCAGACTCAGCAATCAAGTGTGGCTCAAAATGCGACTCACAATTAGATTTGAAATATTTGATTAATTTTATTCCATTCTTTCATATCAGATCAACGGTGACAGCACTAGTCATAAAGAAAGAAGACAGAGGGCGCTATTCACTGGGTCAGCAAGACTCCGGTAATCATCACGAAACAACTCATTCTTCAGCTGGACGAGTAAAATCTTAATCCCTTATATCACCCTTTCGCTGTGAACATGTCGATTTTGGTTTGCATATTTCTCGCATCTAATTCTTTGACAAGAGTTTAAAATAATCCCTAACTATAAAGAGTAACAAAAATACAATCAATGGTGACCGTGAAATCTCGATCCTCATAAAATTTACTCCAAGATTTCATTACGGTAACTTCCATTCTTGAATACTTTGAATACTCTTTTAAGACAAAAGCGCTTTTTGCAGTACACTTCATTACTCTGCATTACATTTACATAATCAAATTGAAGGAGGTATTTAAGGTTCAGAAGAGCCTATCTCTGCACACTCAAGAGTTCTCTAGCAAATAAGATGGGGCTGGCTAATCATGGAGTGTGAAGCGGTGACAACTACCCTTTTTCTAGTTGTATCAATTCTTTTCACATTTTCAAAGAGCAAACTGGGCGATTTACTGCCATTTGGGACAATCTTCAGATCAACAGTGTTGACCAGAGTTAATGAGGTACATGAACATGTATGCACTACTACGTGAAGCACACACTTGGATCCTAACACTCTAAACGCAAGACGTCCCCTTTTAGGGAAGCAACTAACATAAAATTTGAAGGCACTTTGTGGGATTTGCCATACGTTCCTGGAAATCGGACATTTGGTATGGTACTGTTACAACAGAAAAAACAACCATCCAATTTACAGGAGAATGCATGTAACATTCTCTCGGCCAAACCTAGAAGACTAACGAGACAAAAACACACGCCAGCACGATAAACTAGAGCAAAAAAGAAGAAAAAAGGGAAGTTTTTCTACAGGAAACAAAATTGTCACATGCAGCAATTTGGCTCAAAATCAGGGTGGATGAAACACAGTAGCAACATTTATATGTATCAACATTTATAAAGCAGATATAAAAATGCTCCTAATATCTGTATAAATGGTCAATATACTTCAAGGTAGCCAAGAAATGTGTGATTACTTACACCGTCAATAAAATCCACGCCGAAATACTGAGTATCAGACGTGAAGACATCATTCGTCATCCTTGCCATTACAAAAGAATGTGCATTCGTTGGTCGTACAAATAATCCAGACCAGAATTACATTTTCAAATACTGCCTAAATGTATTTCATTTCTACTAACACTACAAAATAATATAAACTACGGTAATCACGCCTATCATGGAGAGTTGATAAACCAGCCAGGTCATTCCCTGCAATCAAGTTGAGCACTTCTTACACTGGTATTCAAAACACAAATTTTGACAAATCTAAGTTACATGAACATCTCAAAATTATCTATCACGTGATTGTCTATTTTCCCACAGAAGGGAATGTCGGAGGAATAAGTACTGTGCTTAGGAGTACAAATCTTTTGATCGTTGGATTACTAGAAGCATTATCCTTTCAATTTGTTGGTAAATTATACATTATCAATCAGGCATGACGTACTGGGAATAAAGTACTTTTATAAAGGTTTATGCCTAAGATGAGTTTTAACAGCCTTGCCACAATACTACATGATACAAGTGTATTTTTACGACAGAGGAGATCCATTATTTGTAACAAACGGTACTGTGAATATTCCAACACTTAGCCATTCCCAGAAAAAAATCTGGAAATTTGGACAGCAAAGAGAAAAAATATAAATTCAAATTAAACAATTTATACCAAAAAGAAAAGAAGAAAAGATGTCGTCTGGAATGTTATGTACAAGATTTGACATGTAATAATCAAAATGCAGCAGTCACGCCAAAGTCAGGTATGAGAAGGGAGTCTCCATTAATAGTGACATGGCATCACAGCCTCTTGTTTAGGGCACGGTTCCTTCCAAGCCAATGTGGCTCATCTGGAAATTTTTCCTATTTTTCTTTGGCACCACATGACCCAGCATACTGCCTGCCCCTCCTCCTTGGGGCAAAGTGGCTTGCTCAAGAACACAACATACAGCCTGCAGCTGGATTCGAACTCCTAAACCCACTGACTCCTGAGTTGCAAACCCCCAACAATGGAGCCACCCTCCCTCGTTTCTGTGATGGTCTAACATATCTGTCTTTGATTTTTTGTTTGTTTGTTTTTATGTAGCGCTGAATATGCTAGCTGATGAATATCAGCAGCTCCAAGATGCTTTCTAGCAATGCAGGGGTCATCATCGCACAAGGCCACCTTACCAAAGGAAGCACAGTCAAACACAGGCTTACTGTCTGTGTGTTTGGGTTTGCTTGAGATTGGTTCTTGTTGGCTTTCCTTAAAGTTACTGTTAGGGTGGAGGGTAGAGCTCTTAGATATGACTTGATATGTGTAAAACCCAGATTTTGTTGTTGATACTTGCAGTTTTTAAAGTCAGATTAGTGATCGATCCATCGCTGTTAAATCTGCTCAAGAATTTCCAATGAACACAAACTCCTTTGAGAACACACACAAAACACCCCCAAAGCAACTCTTCTTGAAAACCTGCAGATCACTTAAGTGTGACAACTTAATCTAACAGAAAACAAAAATAACACACAAAAAAAGAACATTCAGCCTTTTTACAGTGATTAGAAAAATAAATTGATCACAAGAATCAGCATGAGCCTTGCACACACCAGTACGGAAAAATATAAGGGAGAATATTGATTACAAATATCCATTCTGTGTATTTAGTTATCTGTATCAATTTTTGTTATCTTTATTTTTTTTAAATTTACTCACGGTCACAAGTGACCCTGACTTTTTTCTTTTAATAGAGAAAATGACAGACAAACAGATATGCTGGGCACATTTCCAGAAACAGATGATATAAAGAGTCCAGTAATCACATCAGGGAGGATTTTACACATCAGGTTGATTTCATGTCGTTTGTTCCTGTTACCTTTTTCTCAGAATCTGCAAAGATTGATAAGAATGGAGACACATGAATATGTAATCAGCATGGAGTGTTGAGACATGCTAATTAGAAACAAGTTCTTTGGGATAGGGAAGAGCTTCTCGGTGTTTCTTACCCCCTCTCCTTGTCTTACAGACGAAGAGCTCAACTGCTGTACACCGCTCGGAAGCCACTGAAAGTGCCGTTGTTGGGGGCGTTCTGGGCATCAGTCACAAATCGCACAAACATCTGCCGGTTGGAAGCTGTTATCACTGCCGGTTGCCTCTGTGCGAGGCAATGAAAATTTCACACACACCCAACAATTTAATTGTCAGCAATCAAACCCAGCAGAAACTAGCTGACTATAATTACTTTCAAAGTTCTATCATTAGGAAATAGTTTGATGTCTCTACTTTGACATTTGCTTCTTCTGTGTGGGAAAAGTTTCCATTGCATCACAGACAGAATAGTTTGAAGTCTAGTTTTAATGATGTCTCAACAACACATACTGTGTAATCAGGAAAAAAAGAGACCAAGATTGCTTGATCCAAACAAAATCACACCAGCAATAAAAAAGGAACTAAGATGAACGTCAATGGGTGGGGTGGGGCTGGGGGGGCAGAAATAAATACTGCCCCCACTCAATTCGGAGTTTCTTAATTCACTTGAGAGAAATTGCTTAGTGAAGTACGAAGACATATGCCCAAAGTCTGTTGTACTTTGCTAGCATAGCTGCCACTGCATCCAAAATGGTCCAGGCTCCTGTCATGCTCCATCCCTCCTCCATTCTGGCTAGGCACCTAACCTTCCAACTATGCAAGTACACAGCTATTCTTTCACACCATTTACCTTTATAGCCTGGGTTCCATTCTCAGAATTGCCCACATGTGAATTGGGTTTTCAGTCCCTACCTGATTCCGTGGGTTTTACCCAGAATATTCCTCTGGGGTCTTCCTTCCACCTCTAAAACTGTACCTGCTTCTCATTGTCTCCTTTCTACAAGTTTCTGGAGCTCATGAGCTGCAGTGCCCAGAGCACATTTGATAAACCCCCGGTTTTGTTTCCAGAACCGCTTTATAATAAAATAATAACAGTTATACTGTTAAGTTTTGTTTTCTTCTCACCAATCCGCAGTAGCGGCCATAGAGGAGTGACGAAGAGCTGGGCCCGTCGTACACCTCCAGGTAATCCTCGTTGCACACCCCTTCTGTGCCTTCCACTCCCAGAGCTGTGATCTCCAGGGTCAGCTGGTTGCCCCCACTGGGCACCTCGATGGACCAGCCGCAGTCCAGGTTATTGGCGTACTCGAAGGGGTGGGCAGGACTGGTGAAACTACCCCTCCTGCCACTCAGGGGCCCACCGCAACCTGGATTTGGGGGGTGGGGGGTAGTCACAGGTGAATGATCAAATTGGAAGAGCAGTTGTCAAGTGCTTCCCAAGACTTTACCCAAGACCTACATGTACCAGGACAACTTTTTTCCCCAAGCATTTTTTTCCCTGACTGTGGCAACCCTGCTGGAAGAGATGGGTTTACCTGAGGAGACTGTGCTGGATGTGTAGGTCAAGTCAAAGCCGGCATAATTGACGGAGCTATCGGTGACAAAGTTAAGATAGGCAGCATTGGCCGGGAGGAAGACAGGCTCGGGGATGAAATTGCCGCAAAGATTGTACAGCTGTGCCTCTGTGCTGTCTGATCCATTGTAGATCTGGGAAGAGAAATTCAAGTTCACGTTAGACCAAATCATATTCACTGGTGTGGGGGGGGGTGGGGGAGGGAAAGGGGGGTCTTGCTCCCCCCTCCGAAAAAAAACTTGAAATATAAAAAGAACAAAAGAAAGACAAAGCGGAAAGAAAGAACAAAAAGGGTGGTTAGGGGATAAAAGTCACCGGTCTGCTTGAACATATTTAGTCTAGTTTATAATATTTATTTCCATATCTTAAATAAAATATTTACATGAATTTCAGATCAAAGTAACAGAAATGATGGGGATTCCAGATAAAAAGCACATGCTTCTGTGCATTGACTCTTCTGTGCGTTAACCACTACCAGCCGGGGACTCCGAAATCGGAGCCGTATGGTTTATATGT